AAAAATAGACAAAAAAAATTTTTTTTAAATATTTTATTTCATTTAATTTGATTGGTTGACCTGAATTTTATCAGGTCAGGTTATAAGCTTGACCCGACCTGATGTTGACCTAAAAATTTGTCTACCTAACCTGGATTTTTCAGGTTAGATCAGGTCGGGTCACAGGTTAATCTAACCTGATTCAGAGCTCTAGCTAGTATAGATAGGGAATGTATTAACTAAGTAGATTGCTATCTCATCCATAATATGCAAATCTGCCTTATATGCAAAAAAAATTATTGCTATCTGGAAGGCTACTAGTTGATTGATAGCAAAGGCCAGTCTAGTGAGATTAAATATAATAAATTCTTTTTTTCGAAGATAGCTATTAATGACCATTGAGGCATTTTTTACATCATCAGTATATCGCCTAATAATTTTAGAAATATCTTTAGCTATTTGAATTACAAATTACTATGTGTGAGGCATTTTCATACATGAATGTATCAATTTTATGATATTTTTACATTATGAATATGCATAAAATATTCTGATAACGCCTATTTCCAAAAAATTAGCTAATTTGATTCTGTATATGATTTGAAACGAAACACAGATCCTCAAAAATAATTGCTGTGCTTCTCTTAGGCGAAAATACTCTAACACTAGGAATTTTTCTGGTAATATATAGCTAAATTATATATTTTCATAGTAAGGTGCTTTGGATCTTTTGAAATTATGCCATACATATATTTTATAAATGCCCACTTCAGCTCATCAAGATAATAACTGCAAACTATCAAATCATTACATGCAGTATATCTAGATCCACTTTTCTTATTTTTATATATGCATTCAACTTTATTATCAAGAAAAAGATTTGCCAAAATATTAGTCTTACTTGATCCACTCTTTCCAGTGACTAGCATTGAGAAAGGCCATGATGGACTTGTGGGATGAGATTGAATTTAAGATGATTCGTACTTTGTGGTCTCATCCATATCTATAAGGTAAAGTTTCATAAGGGGTAATTCTGTCTTTTGATTCTTCTGCAAAATGGATTGGGAATCAATAATTCTGATTTCTATTTAAGGGTATTTTATAATTCAAAAGATTTTTTCTTCATTGTAAGGTGAAATAAAAGAATATAGATATGAGGATATGCGTTATAGAAAGTATATGATTAGTAATATTATTACAAAGATAATTACATGCTGAAAAAAGAAGGAATTAGTTTTCCCTGCTTCTGGACCAGTAATAGAGTGCAAGTGAGGCAATGTTAAAGTAGTATTAGAGATATCATTTTCTCTAATTACCTGGGTTTCAAAGGAATCAGGGTTGGGTTTTTTTTTAAAATTGGTTAAATGTTTTTTTATACGAGCATTAGCCTCATGAAGGAGGGAATCTTTTTCTGATAATACCTTTTCTAGGCGAGTATTGGCATCTTGAAGACGGTAGTCTTTTTCTGATAATACTTTTTGCAACACCTTTAATATATCTTTCTTAGCAAGTTTTTTTTCAAGTTCTATTACTTTATCTTCAAGCCCAAGCTTACAGACAATACTTCTTAAATTATCATGAAGCTAATTTGGTAGCTTGGCATTTCTATCAGCTCTTCTATCACAGCTCCCATTACATCCAAATTATGATATGTACACTCTAGATTTATGTTCTCTAACTTACTTTTCAATTCACATATTTTAGTTTCAAGAGAAAGAATCTGAATCTTGTTAGTGAATGAAGCTTTCTAGGCCAAAGTTGCCTATCTCTTTAGTGTTTAATATTGGATTTGAATGATTTGATTTCAGCAGAATATTTGGTTTCAAGTTCACTATTAGCTGTATTTAGCTGACTAAACTTATTGTTAAAATCCTTTACTCACTCTAAATATATATCCTGCATGTCTTTATAATCATTAGCAATATCAGAAGCAGTTTTGATGCTACTGCACAATACTCTGATTCACGGATGCTACCAAGCCGATAACCTGGGAGGATGTCTTTACTTAGTGAACCCTCAACCACCCCTCTATTCTCAATATCTCTTAAAGTATGTACATTGGGCATATTTTTTGGTTTAGTCATTAGTATACTAAAAAATATAAGTGAATTTTTGAGACTATACAATCTGAAAACACTTTATTTTTTATGGATACTAGTTTCTCATTAGCATAGCTAACCTGGGTGAACACCCTTCCCGCAGTTCGTTAGAAGGCTGATTAATTAGCCAGAACAAGTGGCAGAAATTGAATATAATTATTACTGATAAAAAAGATCATGCCTAGGTATTTAAGATCTGATGCCTCTCTTTCATCTGAAGTAATTCGTGAAATTATGAATGCTAGGATACAAGTAATATATTATCAGTTTTAACTAAAAAATATAAGATATCGAAGATATGTATTTATAAAATCTGACGAGGGCAAGAATATCCTTCTGATCTTTCATTAAAGAATAATCGGCCTAGTAGTCAAAATATTGATTGGGATAAAAAAATCGAGATCATATATGACTTATATGCTGAACTTCCTTACTGATAATTTTCAAAAGATTTCATATATCCATATTTTTTAAAAATTATTAATAAGGTTCGGTCTTTTTCAGAAATTATTAAAGAAATTCAATATTGTTTAATAAACATTAATTACAATACTAAGATAATGATCGATAAATTCTGATTTTTATCAGTTAATTTTTGTTTGATAATTATCAATAAATGGAATATCTATTCAAGGAATATTACTGTGCAGGTGCCACCTATTTATCACTTGAAGTTCTTGAGGAAATTTGCAATTCCTGTGGAAAAGTTAAAAATGCTATAACAGTAATGGCAAAAATACATCATATTTTTACCCAGCAAGTTTATGAAATTTTGTGTAAATCTGCAATGGGACAACCTGATCATTTCCAATAAGGTGGGTCAGATAATCAAAGCCTAGATAATCCTAATATTACTTCTTTGCCTCAGGATAATATATTAAAAGTCACTTCGCTAGAATGTAACGCCGTTCCTGATAGCAAGAAGAAAAGACTGGAGGAAAGAAGCGATCCTAAGGGGTTAAGCAATGCCTAGAATAAAAAAAGAAATTATTTCGCCTACTGAATTCTCTGAAGATGTCTTGGATTTGTATAAAAGAACTGATAATACTTTAGAAAAAATTAAAGTAAGAGGTCATCCTCTTATTTTCAAATAGTTATTCGTCCTATTCAATCTGACTGTGCAAACTATTATAATATCCTATGATTTCCAAATTTGATTGAATGCTAGAAAATAATGCCTTTTCAAGCTCTTTCATACGAATTGCTATATCCTCATAGTTCATGCAGTTTACACATTTTTTTAAGTCCTTCTCACCAATCAGGTTAGAAGAATTGGTGGATGTTTAGTCCTGCTCCTCTTTTAGTGAATCTTTGACTACTGGAGTCTTGCTAAAGGTTGGGATAATATATGCATTTCCATGTAACTTTATGTGGAACTAGTTTTTATTTAGCTCAGGAATGCCTTGAACCTTTCGAATATTTGATATATCAAAAAATAGCATTAGTTCTATTTCACTATTATCAATATGAACAAAATTTCCAATAACTGTGACCGTCTTACCTTCTTTATCTTTTAAAGTAACTGGCATGTCTGTAAACCATCCTAATGAATCAGTGATATGCTTAGAATTGCTCTTTATGGCAAAATTAAATGGTTTATTAATTTTCCTTCTAAGCGTCTTGATTGCTAGGTCATTTAAACCACCTAACTCACTGCCAGTATCTAAAAATGATTCAAAAATAGTTAAGTCATTTATATTAGCATTCAAATATTATAAAGATGACAACCACTCATCTGATTCTTTCGATTCCTCCTCCTTAGCCTTTCAAGACAAGCATATTTTTCGTATCAGTAGTGAAAGCTTAGACAATAGCTGATTATATGTTTTAGGTTTGCTAGTTACTAGATCAGAAAAAGGGATAGCAGAGTTACCATGTAAGCTTTCATTTACTAGTGACTGTTTTTTTTCTGATGCATAATACCACTCATTTTTTACTTTATCATAACCATCTTCCTCATTATCTGAATCTGAAGGTATGTATTAGGACTGTGTAGATGGAAGTTGAGGATAGTAATGTGTAAAATTTGATTTAGCTATAGGATTTAAGCTTGGACAATTGTTTTTCTTATACCCTTCCTGTCCGTAATTACTACAATAAAAAGGCTTTTGAGATTAATCATTAAGTGTTATCCTACCAAACTTAGATGTCATCTGACCAATTTTATCTATTTTTAATTTTAATTTATTGATTCTAAATGATTGCAACTTTTCTGACTTTTGCGATTTAGGAGGTGGCCCATAAGCTTTTATAACTACTCTTATTATTTTTTCCCTAGTAAGTGTATCAGGGAAAGGATTAGCGCTTTCATATGTATCAAGAATCTGTTCCATATTTTTAGGTGGAATTGGTGAAGGAGTTTTCATACTTTGTTAGGCTATCTGTACTTGGAATTTGTTTTTCTGCTTTTCTAATAAAGACTGGTATTCAGTTTTTTGTTATGCTAATGTGTTTTGAATTGCTTTTTGAATATCTTCTAAAGAAATCCCTTGCTGTTGTAAGGCTGAAACAGGTGAAGGATCATATATTTGCTGAAATATATGATAAGATACTAGTGAGTCTGATATACTACCATCTCTTTTATGTCTTACTATTCAGCGTAACTCTATTTCATAAAGCTTTTTAACTAATTCGTCTAATGGTAAATATTCACTGATATCTTCAGCTTTTTCAAGCTATGAAAAAGGAAAAGCATCTAAAAACTTTCTACGTAATTCTTCAGGCCTATAGTTGGCTTGTCTACCTATTTGCAATATTATTTACTGCAACTAAGTTAACCTGCCTTGTATTATCAAGTAAGTTAGTTAGCTTCCAATTCTGTTTTATAGTAATCTCATCATCAAACCATTCTAAAGTCCTTCCTCTCATACAGGATCTTAAATGTCCTATTACATTATCTCTTCCTATTAGAGGACCTGCTATATTATCATTTGGATCTATTTCCCGATTCTGCAAGTCTAGTTTAAATTGCACAAGAAAGTCCAGAATACTATCACCCCAGTTAAAATATGGATAAGGTATTCCAGCCATGTTTATTTGATTTGGTGGATTATTCTGTAACGCTAAAATTTGTGTCTGCAAAATTAAAATATTTTGGCACTCTGCTTGAATCTTATTTTTTCATTTCTCATATCGCTCATAGAGCCTATCTCTATTATATTCTAACAAATCCCTATCCACTTTACATCACTATAAATGGTAAGCATTTTGTTGATATAATAGCCGAAAGGCAAAATTTTCTCATAATAATTCACCAATACAGGCTTATTTTTTTGCCATATTATCTATCATTCTATTCACCTAGTTTTGAGTATTAGTTTAATATTGATGTAGATCACTAATAACATTGGCTATCCCTCCTTCAGTAAATTGCCTTCGTATAATTTTATTATCACTTTCTGCCTCTGCATAATAATGCCTTCGTTGTTCACGGACTAAATCCTGATGCAAATTATTCTCTTTCTGATGAATTTGACTTATTATCCTTTTTATTTGATCTATTAGAATATCTCTAGCTGTTGTCCTATTATCTACATAACCATCTATAGCGTTTGCTAGCTCTGTGATTGTGACAATATTATCATCAGAATTATACAAGTCTAAAGAATTACCTCATTTGGGTGAATTTTTTCGTGATAAGATAGTTCTGATCTGACATTACAATTTTTCTACCTGCTTTTCAGATTCTGCTAACTGCTTTTCTAAACTAGAGACATATTTTTCCTTATCTCATACATCCTTTTTAGCTTGATATGGCTAACTTTTTAGACTGAAGATTTCAGATTTTAGCTCTGCTATATCTTCTTCTGAAGCATTCTCAAGACACTCTATGTCTTTATTGAGATTTTGGATTTCTTGTTCACATCAGGAATAATCTCGCTTCAGTTGATTAATTTAACTCTCATTCTGATGATTAGTATTAGAGTTCCTAATGAGTCGAGTCGAGTCGAGTCAAAAAATTTTAAAACTCTAACTCGACTCGACTCGAGTTATACTTAAATGTGACTCGACTCAACTCGAGTCAAATAAAAACCCCCAAAATATATTTGCTGATTATATAAATAATAAAATAATAAAATTATATTAATGTTTCAGAAGCTATTATCTAATGATTTACCAATTAGAATTTCATGAAATCTGTACCATCGTATTCGCTGAGATGCTTCCATCAAAATGATATGTGTTGAATTTCTAATGGATCACTGAATGCAGAGATATTCAAAAAAATGTGTTGAAAAATTGATTTTTTGCTTTGAAGGCCATTATCTCAAGATCTACCGCGCTCATCAGAATGATATGTGTTGCATTTCTAACGGATTACTAGACGCTGAGATATTCAAGAAAACGTGTTAAAAATATTCAATTAAAGCTTCGTAACCGGTATATTTTCGAATTCCGGAATTGTACCAAATTGAGTTACATAAGATTCCAAATATAGACATATAGTTACACAAATTCCTAAAAAGGAAAATTTTGGTTATTGAAAAATTGGAAAATCACCAAAATGAGTTACATGAAATTCCCAAAATGGTAATTCATGTAACATCAATTCACGTAAGTCAACTTGAGTCAACTCGAGTTGAAATAAGTCGAGTCAATTTATTGACTCGACTCGACTAATGACTCGACTCAAGTCAAATGAGTCAGAAAATTTTTGACTTGACTCGACTCAAATTCGAGTCAACTCATTTGACTCGTAAGTCAACTCGACTCATTAGGAGCTCTAATTAGTATTAATTTCTGTTTGCAATTCACTATGAAGATGATAGTTTTCCTCCTTCAATTCAACTTTATATTCTTCACAGGATCTTCTCTGCCTTGGCTGAGATCTGCAGAATGACATTTTTTTGTGGTTATATAGAAAGATGAAAGAACTGGTTATTTATATTAGTCCCCAAAAAGCTCATGATTTAGACTGTTACCTTGCTTTACAAAAGTTTTATTATTGTTTTAAGAGCCTTTATTAAAATGCTAAAGGATTATTGGATGCTTGTAGAAAAGCTGACTACAGCTTTCCATTTACTGATATAAAAAAATGGCTTGATAGGCAGGCAATGTATCAAATTTTTTGTCTTTCACCAAAGCATGTATCTTACGCCAGCTACTCTAAAATTACGAAACTGAATTCTGTATACCAGTGCGATTTAATTGAAATATCATATAATGAAAATGTGGATACAAATTTGCTTGATAATGAGCCAATATATTACTTTATCTGGTATCCCATGATTTTTTATAATTAATAATGACTATAATAAATCAATTATCAGGTAAAAAATCAGTTATCAGGCATTAAGAAAAATTATTAATGCCTGATAATGATTTTTTTTACCTGATAACCGATTTTTTGCCTGATAATTGATTTATTATAGTCATTATTAATTATAAAAAATCACGGGATACCAGATAAATCATTTATCTGATACTTCAAACCGAATAACTACCGCTATCTACAAGGTAGCTAATAATATTAGGAACCAAATTTGATTTGTGATTCGGGACTCCTGCGGAGCTCCAAATCAACCAATCAAATTTGATTTTTCCAATATAATAGTTATTCAGCACGAAGTGTCAAATAACTATTAAATATGCTATTGGTTATAGACTGTATGACTATGTATAAAGATTTCACTTTTTTAACGTCAAAAAGTAGTGAAGAAGTTGCAGAAGCTTTTAAGAGTCTATATGATAATC